GCTCTCCACGCATCTCATTGCATCGGACTGAGAGTGCGAGGTTGCAACAAGAGCAGCGCCAATGCTCGAACCATCAGTGGCCAGCTTGGTCACGGCAGGCTTGGAGTCATCTTCTCCCAGCATCTCCTCCAATGTGCTCTCCACGCATCTCATTGCATTGTACTGAGAGTGGGAGGCTGCAACAAGAGCAGCTCCAATGCTCGAACCATCATTGGCCAGCTTGATCACAGCAGACTCGGAGTCATCTTCTCCAAGCAGCTCCCGTAACGTGCTCTTCACGCATCTCCGAAACTTGCTGTAGTGCTCGAAGAGCCCCCCATCCACAGCTACCACAGCCTTCTTCTTCCCATCATCACTGCCAACCCTCCCCTGCTTCAAGAGAACACCTGCTATCCCTGCGGCAGCAAGTCGAGCCGCGCGCTCCGCGATCGCGTCGCAGATCCTTACAACCATTCTTCTTGTGTCCATGGAGGTGCCATCCACCTGATACAACTCAGAAGGGAAGCTTAAATGAAAACAGATCTCACGGTCATGGTGGCCAAGTGGAAGAACAAGACAAGTACCCCAAATATCTCCTTCAACTTGCTCCCGACGACGCCGAGATTGGATGTCGTATCGTGATTCATGGCAGACACCACCGGAGTCCTGCACAATTACAAATCAAGGTTGGAAACATAAATGGCAGCAGAAACTATTTGGGGACACTGCAAGCTTAGTACATACGTTAGTATGAAAGGTTCTTCGAGTTTAGAGGGAACAGTATCACCGAACAGAGCAGCTTCTTCTGCTAATCTCAACAGGACTCGTCTCACAAGTTCTCCCAGATACATCCCCGAGATCAACTTCTCAAAGATCTGAAGAACAAGGAAGACAAAGCACACCATGAGTCCTAAAGATCGGCACATAGATGATGGATATCATGGCTGAATACATGCCTGTTCACCAGGGTTGATGCTCTCCCAGTCCAATGCTTGGTCATACTCTGTTATGGGAAGGTGACATGACTGGAAGTTGCCCCATTCCATGTTTATAACCTGCAAATCCATACATTAAGCTCACAAGAATTAATGAGAGCATCTCAAGGGTGAACTTAATGAGAAATCATCAAGCGAAGCAATCACCATCTCCCCTGATTGAGGTTGAAGGCCATGGCACCTGGGGATTGCACTTGAACTTTCTACATAGGCTGCATTTGTTCCAGTTCCAAGAATGACAGCTAGAACAACATCCTTATCGTAGAATCTGGAACCTGCCAATGTGCCGACTGCATCGTTTACCTGCATCTCCAGAGCACAATGCATCTTAAATCGCAGAATCCGATGGATGAATGCAACTAATGTTCTTGGTGGATCAACTGGAAAGATGTTAGGATTTACCAGCGCTGCGACGCGCATGTCAAGATGTTGCCTCTCCATGGCTTCAGTCAGCTCAACAGATATATCTTTTCCAACCTGAATCCAACAGATCGATCGATACAGAACTCAAATTATACGGAGAACAAAGAGGTCTACGATAGATACTGAGTCTATTTAAGTGAAAAGAGTGAGAATCATATCAATCACTTCATAGATAATTTAGGTCAGCTATCATCATATAATATTCTCAGAAGTCTTTCCTCTGTTACAGCTAATATAGTAGGTTAAACAGGACTTACAGTCTCATCGATAGAGAAACCCTTAGTCCACTTGACAAGAACTCCAGTTGAAACTGAAGACTGCCTCATTGGGAAAGAGAATGTGAAGCCAATCTCTCTCTGTCTGCCACCTTCTATGAGACAATCTTTGGCAGCAAAGTCTGCTAATTCTATCGCGATGAAATCGAATAACTCCTAAAAGAAAAACCAATGACGAGCAACTCGGAGTCATGGTAAAGAAATCTGGAAGAACAGTATGAAGCAGCAGGTGAATTGCTCACATCAGAGCTTCCAAACATCAAGTGCGGGGGAATGGGAACCTCTTTGCTTTCTTGTTCGATGATACCTCTTTCCTTCCCACCTAGCTGTACTCGAAGAACGCGGAAGTTTGTTCCTCCGAGGTCCAATCCATAAAACAGTCCTTCTTCATCCCTAAGGTTGTAAAAGAAGAGAAGAAGAGCTGTGGTCGATATAAGTTGTTCAAAGAGTCGGTCTTTCGCACCAGATCTCAAAGAAGATGATGTGTTGGGAGGAGGGATGGAGAGGGCGTACCCCGTCGGGAGCTTGTCGACGAAGCTGGGTAGCATCCTGAGCTTGCTCCCGCCGGCGTCTGCCGCGAGGAGGCCGGCGTGCATCTCAGCCGCCATCGCCTGAGCCACCTGCTTCAACCTCTCGGTCGGCGTTGCGCACGCCTCCTCGAGCTGCCTCACGATCTCCTCCGCCCGCGGCCACCGACGCGTCCTCCGCCTCACGACCTCCGCCGCCGCCGCGGCCAGTGCGCACACCACCGCTGTCGCTGCCGCCGCTGTCCTCATCACTTACTTCCTACAACAACTACGACAGACGGCTCAAGAAGCCGAAGCTTTTATAGACCCAATCGGGGTGGCAAACACAGGAGGGAGAAGGGGAGCAGCTACTGTTCACGTGAAGAGTTACGCGCCTCTTCTTTTTCCTTGTTTGCATGCGTATCTGTTTTTGCCTGCCTTGGGAGTCGCAACGCTCGCGTGCCTTGTGATGGCTGTTTGTTGCAGGACGATAACACTCGTGCATGGAGAGGGACGAAGGAAGCGAGAGGGTGATGATTAAGAGCCGTTTTGTTTGCTTCCACCTGACCGAGTCACCCCCGATAAGTTTCAGGGGTGACTTGGACGATTGCATTTATTGAAATATCCAACTTGGATATTATATTGAAAATATTGGAAAATCAAATCGGATCATGTCCAGCTAATAGTATACACCAGTCCAAAAATGGGATCGACTTTGAAATGATCCACCAATGACAAAAAAGAATTCTCTTTATTTTGTTCATCATTGACAAGTATTTCCACCCAAAATGCTTCTTTTTCTTTTGAACTACATTCTTATACTATTAATGACATGAGTAGATAGGATTAACAAGTGAAGGTGAACCTCCAATAGCACATACATCCAAGTCTTGAAGGAAGAAGCATGGAACCAAACAGGCAGCTGCCATGGCTTGCCATCTCTCTATCCCATGCCTAGGAGTTACCAATTATCCTTATCTTGATGTCAGGAGAGACGGCAGTCATCACGCCAAGTTCATCCACAACTCAGGAACTCATCTCTGGCAATTGTAAGTGCACCCGCATCTCATTCTGCTGTCCTACCCCACCTTTTGCGTACACGGCCATTGTACGCTACACACAAAGTGACTTGAGATGTTAAACTTTTGAGCTTGTTATTGTTCCTAGAAGTCAATCTCAGCTGGTTAAGCATGAAGCAAACATGATCAAGTCTTAAACTTCAACTTATGAGACATATGTTGATTTCCAGAGAAAAAAAGTGACATTCTTCATGAACATAGCATCTATATAGAGGCATGCTATAAAGTAGATAGAATGAGAGAAAGACCATTTTACTACATGAAAGTGGCAATGTGAGTGAATGAATGAATGGACACCTGAGTGTGTGTTTACTAGAATGACTGGCTTAAAATGATATTTATTAAACCAAGGGACCATAATTTCTGGAGATGAAGAACAAAAGATGATATCTAGCTATACATTATAAGATGCTCCATATAACCACAAAAATAATTTGCTCGATTTGTGATGTCATGCCTAATATCACATAGACTGTTTGCCATTTATAAGATCATAAGAGAAACAGAAATCATGTTCCTAGTCTGCATTTTGTTTAAAGAAGTTTATTTCTTTGCAACAATTTCAACGAAGATGGTAATTATGAAAAGCAACTCATGGCAGACACAATGTAAGACCAGCACAAGCTAACACACCATCAACATATATAACCAGCACACAGAGAAAACCTACATCTCTTCAAGTTTTTCTGGACATCCTCAACATGCAGGTCACCATGTCCAACATGATTAATCATGCAAAAAAAAGTCTAATTAACATTGTCTTCTTGTAAAGAAATTGACTAATGACGATGCTTCATTACCAGCATGCAACAGATTATGCATTCATTGTACTCAATGCAGTGTCAGGTAGACTGTAAGCCATAAGGACTTAAGATGAGCTAATTCAAATGGTTCAAACACTGTATGTCAAATTCGGAATCTTTGATAAGGAAGATAATCACCAAACCTCACAAGACTGCACTGTCCAGGAGTCATGGGTTCATCATAGATGCCAGTGATCAAAGACGGCTTTATTCACAGTAACACCACCAGAATCCTGACAATCAATAATTTAAATGCAAGTAAAAGAAAAGACATACAATATTACATATCAAGTTATCATCACAAGATTTTGATTGATGCATGGGAGGATTACACCTGCTTGCATGTAGCGAACATGAAAAGGAAACCAAACTGGATGTCCTGAAAAAACTAAAAGATTAAAACCGCAATCTGTAGGGTCAGTAGGTGCTTATTCTAAGGTGAATCTGAACATGATTCATATTGCCTTGTCCCACTAGACTCTGTAGAAGATTGTCATTGCAATAAATTGATGACTTATAAAACTAAACAACCAAATTTCGCTTTTTAGCATGTAAAACTTAAAATATGAGAATTTACATAATTGGCAGTCTGTTTTCCTGCCAAATAGCAACTTCAAGATGAGCAGAGGAGACAAATGAAAATGATGACATAACAGTCTCCATATTTAGATTTGTGAACCTCAGTGACCAATGGTGCATTAGCATATACCATATGTGCTAGATCTGAGGCTCTTTGAAAGATAGAAATGCGCAAAATATTTGAAACTTTAGGATGCCAAAGCGATTGAATCGAAAGACACCTGACTAAATTTGTTCAAAGCATATAGGAAATAGCTTCCTTAATAACTTAGGGGAAAGCAGCCAATTTTATAGAATGAAATAGAAACGAATCACACATATTCCTTAAAAGAATAATAAACCTAGATTCAACAGTAGATTGATAGTGGCCTTGTTTTCAGCTTGAGATAACCTACACGCAATTTAGTGATGATGGAAGCGTCAGGAAACTGCAGCAAATTTCAAATATAGTATTCCATCCACTGAAAGGTAAAATTCGTCTCCGAATGCAAACGGTTAGGGGTTTATACATGTGAATCACTATGTATGCCGACTAGATCATTCGATAACCAGCTAGAACATTTTATCTCAAAGAGAGGGTTTTTACATTGAATCCACATCACAATCGAGGAATCTCATAAGAGGTCACTCATGAAGAACGCCCAAAGTTTGCAATAGGAGCGAGAACCAGGAAATAGCGCCGGCGACAGCCCTAGACGGAACAGGTGACTCCGAATGCACCGATCGACCACAAAAATCATCGAAATATTGATCCGCTCAAGGAAACGGGGGAACAAGAAATGGGGAAGTACCTGAGGAAAGAAAGCGGTCTGGGCCCAGGCTCCGCCAGCCGCCGTTTGGTGCTGATCGACCACCTCACGCATCAGGTGGTCGTCGACGTACGATTCCCCTCTCCTCTGTAGCCTCTACGACGGGGTCGTCGTAAGTCAACCAACCAATCGGTTGGCATATTTATACGTCATCAAGCAAGGGAGATGATTGAGTGATGACCGTCGATCCTTCCCTTTGCGAATCTCGATGCAGCGTCCGGAGCCCTAACTAAGAAAACGGGTTAAATTAATCCTTCTAATTTGCGGAATATCATGTAATTAATTATATAGCCCCTAATTAATATTTCATATACGTCACATTAATTGGAAAGATGTTATCGGCTTGAATTTGTCAGTCCAAAATCCAACTGATCTCAACCTTTCTTTTCCCCCAAAATTAACTCGCAAGAAGCTCATATACCTTCCACAAGGAATTAATTGAAAGAGAAGATTCTGAAACATATCAAGCAACTCAATTCCTCTGTTTCAGTAATACAAGTTTATATCTTTCTTAATAAAAAAATTCAGAGTTTTTATAAAATAGATTTGGCTTAACGTGTATTATTTTATTTTCTTTTTTTAACAATTAGATAATACCCCATTTCCTTTTTTTTTTCTTTGTTTGCATTAGATTTGGGCTTGATTTAATGCATTCTAGAGGCCCATTGGGCTCCTTGTTTTTGTGTGCTTCATAGTTGATAAGGCCCAGTAAAAATTAAGTTCCCCCCTGCTTGAAACATGACATTACATTCTTATATATATATACACACACACACACACAAACCTTAACAGTAGTAGTTTAGTATTGCAGCTGTTCTTCTTTATTTGCGTTCATTCTTTCAAATGGTAGGCTAAAGGTAGGCCGGCTGTTCTGATGAGCAAGGAATCATCTTCTCATCACTGCATGATTGCTAACTTAATGCAAACTGATGTCACTGAGAATCCAAGGATCTGAACCATCATTGCAGAGGCAAACTGGATTAGGCTGCTGGAGATCACCAAATTAAACAAAAGTTTCCTCAAGTGCTTGTCTTTGTCTCCCTCTTTTCCAGGTAGGTTGGTGAGATTCCCATCTGAGTGTTCTCAGTTAAAGGCATCAGCAAAAACTATGAGCTTTGTAATGCACTGCAGTATGGATCAAGTCGATCCTCAGTCCATTTCACCATTGTAAGGTTTTATGAGTTCTTCATGTGGCTGAACTTTGAACAAAGTGGTTTTGCAGGTGAATGCTGATCGAATGTTTCCTGCAATCCAGTAGAAAAGAACATGGTGTGACCTGACAAGGCCAAAATGTAGGAGATGCTAATAATGCTTACTGTCACTCCACAAGAAGAATCTTAGAACTCATCTTCATCTTTCTCTTCCACCATTTTCAATGCCTGCTTATTCCTGGGTGTGAGACAAGGTGCTCATCATCATCGGCATCATCATGTCTTTATTCCTAACATGCCTAACCCTAAAAGTATTTAATATGATAGGTTGGAGCTGCACTGGAGCATTAAAGGAAGAGAACCATCCTAAAAAGTAGCTCATTTGCAAGAATCCATAAAGGAAGCCCATGTTCTGTTATTCTCCAAACCACTACACAACTCTTCTTGCAAGTTATTTATGGGACTCCGTATGCCCTTTGAAGAGCATCCAAGATCTTCAATAAAGAGAAGAAGATGAGCATTGCCTTTAGGAGGGAGTGAAGAAGACATGGCACTCTTTTCTATCTCCTGCTGAGAGGGACACTCGCATCTGCATGCTGCATGCTTGCTATGCTTGGATTCAAATTTGTTGTATCTAAAGGCAACACTTGTCTCAGTACAACAAGTAAATGACTACGGACATGAAGTGGGAGAAGAATAAGATGTCACTCAATGAACATAAACAACAAGACATCAGATTCATGGATGTAATGTGAGCAATAACATCCCAACTCACTTAAATTGAGTTTGGATATCTTCCAACATAGTTAGGTTTAATTAGATTAGATAGACAGGTAGGTGGCTTGGGTTTCAACATATATATAATGTGAGCAGAAGCAGGATGAGTTATTTCTTGCATCCTGGAGAATTGTTCTTGTGAGTATGCATGTAAACATAACATTGGAGGATCTGTCTGAGGCCAATTCAATGACTTATAACCAAACAAAATCGACATCAATCTCAAAGAAACATAAAAATCCTTCAGTTCCCAGAAGACACTGTTGATAAACAATTACAAGAATAAGTAGTTCTTTGAGAAAACATTCATTCTTGTCTTTCTTTCCTTCCTCTTTAACATACAAAGTAAAATAGACATGAACAACAAAGCTAAAAATTTGACACATTTGTAATAAATACAATTAAAAACAATCAAAACATGGGTATTAGTTGATGATGGAGACTTTATGGGCATGATGAGATTGTTAATCTCAAACGCATGGTTGATTCACTCCAGGCATATTTATCCTGCTGCTGTCAGCAAACAGCAGCAGCATTCATTCTTCTTTCTTGGTCTCTCTTCAATCACTTTCTTCTCTTCCTTTTTGACAAAACACTCTTTCTACTTTGTTCCTGCCCAATCTGGCTTATTGTGTAGTTAGTATTTGGTTACTGAGGCTTCAGCTACTAGAGTTAAGGAACACTATTCTCTCATTCTCTCTCTATATATAGATAATATATAAATGTATTCTGCTTCTGTCCAACCTGAACATGCATAGTGTGAACACTGATGAGATATGATGGTGATGGTGTTTGGTTAGTTCTCTGGCTTTCTTCTTTTTTGTCATTACCCATGATGATCTGGGTTGTCAGATGACCAGTATGAGTACTGCCATTCTGTCTCTTGAGAGTGTGGGATTGGTGTTTCCTGACAGAGAGAGCATGCAAAGGTCAAAAAGACAGACTCATTTTGATTTCCATAATTGAAATTTGTACACACATAAGCTAAATTGTGAAAGTTAATAGTAAATTTGGCAAACTGATATCTAAAATATTAACTGATGACACAAAGAAAACACCATGTCTTGGTTTATCTACACAATATTAGTGTAATATCAATCTCACTGCAAAATCTTCTTCTTTCTGAGAGCAACATGCAATCAGAAGATGCAAAGAAACTTGATTCAAGTTTAGCAGACATGAAAAGTAGGAGAGAGACTCATGTTTCTTTTTTCCTTTATCTTTCTTAAATTAAATATTCCAGAATAATGACATGTTCCTTTAGTCCAGGCAGCAAAACAACATAAGCTTTTTCTCTTTCACTTTCCTGGTATTAAAGAAAGCCCAGGAAGTTCCTTGTCTAGATTCAATTTCCAAGTTGATCACTGATTAAGAAGGCTCTCTTTCTCTTTTACTCTTATCTAGATTCTAATATCTGAATCAAATTGCTAAAGAAAAAGAAAGGATCAGAAAACTAATATCTGAATCAAATCAGAAGAGATATGATGCAAATTGCTTCCAGTTTGCCTCACATCTAAACTATATAACTAGAAGAATTTTCTTGGGCTAGTATGTGCTGCTCAAGCAGAAACAAATTGCTTTCTCCCTTATTTGATTCCTAGTTAAGCTAAGTATTTTTGGTCTTCCTGTAGTAGTAAATTGACAGCACAATGAGATAAGAAAAAGAGAAAGGATGTCTTTAGAAATATAAGTTCTCATTGATGGTTCTACTTACTCCTCTATGTCCAGCTGAGGTGCAACTCAAAACCAGTTCTTCCAGGCCAGAAGCAGATCCACCTTCCAGCTTTTGTTGCTGCCTCTGTGCTTGCTGCTGTTGTTGTTGCTGATGATCATAACTAAGTTAGTTTTCATCTTGTAAAGAAATTAAACCAGAGTAAAATATAATACCAAATTTATTTGGGGTATAATACCCAAATAAATATTAAGAATCTATCAGACTCCACTCATGAGATCAGTTCTTCTGGGACTGAAAAATAAAGATTTATACTAAAAAAATGTGTCTTTCCCACAAAAAGAAAAAGATTTTTTTTCTAAACTATTAAAGAAAAGAAAAAAAAAGGAAAAGAAAAGAAAAGAGGATAAATATAATTAACAGAGAATGGAACTCATTTTATCTTCCAAACTCAATTGCCATACCTGAGACTTATCAGCTTGGAAAAGGATCCTTGAGACATGAAATGGGTCTCCGAGGACGACCGACGCGTGGTGGAGTGGAGGAGCGGAGATAACGGTCGAGATGGGGTTCATCGGCCTGGTAATGTGGAAAGCTGTTGCCGGAGCCCCCTGCCGTTGTTGCCGTCGTTGTTGCTGCTGCTTCTCCTGGGCCAGATAATGTGGTGGCGGCCTGGCGCGGCGCTCGTGCTCTGCGTGCTCATCTCTCGCCTTCGGTGCCTCTCCCATGGCCACCTGTTGCACACTCACCAAACAATTCCAGGTCAAATCCCTCCCTACTTCGCTTTCAGTGTGTGTGTGTGTCTTCTGTCCCTTTTGCTTCTCTTTCTCCCCCCTTGTTCTTGGTAGGGAAGGTGCACCAAGTGAGACTGCCATCAACCCCTTGTTCTTGCTTGTGATTTGAATGAACTGATGTGAGAGTTCATCTAAGATGCCCTTCTCTATTCTTTACGTTATCCAGATAGTTTAGATGTGCCATCAACTAAGTTTAGATGCACAAAGAACACCACATTCGTGTATAGATTTTGAAGAAACAATCAAGTCATATATGTGATTTCTTCTGAATTTTCATGCCTCACTAAGAAATCAGAAAAAAAAAGGAATTCCAAGTTGAGTTCTCTTCCTTTTTTTTTCTAATTAAAACTCTGAATAATCAGTAAATTCACCAACTACAAAGTGACTATCTAAGATTTAATTGAAGTGAAGTGAATGAACCTTATCCGAGATATTCTCTTACTAAGACTACTTAATGTTGAAGATTAGAATCAATAAGTTAGCATCCTTCAGAAAACTAAGATGACTATGAATTGCTTGAAGAAGCATATGGAACTCAACAAAATGGATGAGAACTGCTGAACTGATATGAACAAAAGCCTGTGGGAATTACCTCATTGAAGCTTTCTCTAAAAGGAGCAAAGCTAAAGTTATCAGGCTTCATGTGCTGGTGCATCTCCATGCCACTGTACCCAGACACACCAGCCTCTTTGGAGGAGCAACTTCCACTTCCACTATCCCTTCTTTGGTCTATGCCCTCCATGGCTGCTGCAACTGCTGTGCTCCTCTCTGACAAGTTGCACTGCCTCGGTTGGGTCTGGTAGAATATCTTGGACACCACAAGCTCCCCTTCCTTCTCCTCCTCCAGCTCTCCCAGGTGGTACTGGTGCATGACCCAGTTGGTCTTCTCAGGCTTCCTGTGCTTCCCGAAGTTGGTGTACAGCACCAGGATCTTCTTGCACCCCTTCTGCTTCCCATTGACCATGACGGGCCTCGTCTTTCCAGTCTTGTGCCACCTGGTCTCGCCCTTCTGAAGGTCACATTCTGACTGGATTTTTCTTCTCTTCCTTGTGCCTGTGGTATAAGCCTTGGATGGCCTGTGGAAGAAGTGCTTGCTTAGGCCATCCCTTGTCACACCTGAAGCCAAGGCAAAGAAGACAGTGAAGGTAGGTGTGACCATAGCTGAGATTTTCTTGTCAGATGCAACTATCTTGAGAGCTGAAACCAGCCAACCAACCTATGAGATGTTGGACAAACTTAAGAATGTGTGTGTGTGTGTGAGAGAGAGAGAGAGAGAGAGAGAGAGAGGAGGA